GAGAGAGAGATCAAAGAGATCAAAGAGCTGACAAATGTAAAAACCAAAAAGTTATAAGTTTTTCTTTTTCATATTTTGTTGTGAAGTTATTATTTTCATGATTTTGTTCACCATTCTATTTTCATCTATCATGTAGAAGGTGCATTGTATTCCTTTTGTGCTTGTACCTTCATGTTCAAACTAGCATAAATGTTATTGATGATCCATACAAAGTTATAGGTAGTATTGGTGCTTTATCATCAAATATTGATTTCAAAGTTTAATTTTCTTGCATTCAGAAATCTTATTTTTACAATTTTGTTTATATTGCTATTATTAGTATATTTGTTTTGAAGAGCAGCTCATTCTTTCAACATTTACCAAGTGCATTTATCAAAACCCACTTTTCAATGTGTGGCATTCATTTATTAATTTATTTATTTTCTTCCCTTCTGTCTTTGATCCTGTTATTTTGGTGTCTGTAAACTTTTGTTTTTCAGATATTATGGTCAATATTAAATATGGTAAGTTTGGGAATGTGTGTGGGGAATAAATTGGCATATGGGTTGGCATGAAATCTCCAGTCCCATTCCAGGCTGAATTACAACATGACATCCTCTCTCAATCTCTCTCTCTCTCTCTCACACACACACACACACAATGTGCCCCATTCATGTATTCATGCACAAGTGGTCAATGTATGAATATGTGAAGGAATGGAGGAGAAAATCTCATCCATCAGTGGGGGTGATGATGGGACACATTTCTCTTCCTTTCCCATTCCTCCCCCCCCCCTGGCATGCAGTGGCAGCATGGGCACCATGGAAGCACCACAAAGAGGGGGAAATGATTGCCTCTTATGATTCAGAGCCCACCACTTCAGACAGACAGACAGACAGGGACTGAGGGACTGAGGGACCTACCCCACCTTCTCATTTGTTTAGAGAACTAAGTGGAGAGACATAAGCTTTTATCAGCTTTCAACACCCCTGTTTCCATTTCACACACAAGGTCTATCATTCAAAAGTATGTACTCCTGTCACACATTTGAAACAACTTATGTGACTGATCAGCCTTGTTGCACTCCACAAAATCGCAATTTTGTTCCTTTTCTTACACCATGGCCATATTGTGTCTGTCATATGATGTTCACTGCAGTACAAGAATGGCCCCTGTTCCTCAACTGCCTTCACACTTGTGTGCTTCACCAAGGGAGTTTGCATTTGTCCATTTTAAAATTACTAGCACTTGCTTAGTGCAGAATAATAGTCAGGAACTTGCCAGCTCATCCAGAGGATGTCCAACAGGCATGCAAAGCGACCATGCAGGATGGGAGGATAGATCTCAACGTGGTTTGAGAGATGCATCAGGGTGATGAACTGTTTGAGGATGTATTCAAGGTAAGAGCCCCACTTATGCACTGAGCACCACAGTTTAAACTAATCCGCACAACAGGAACGAAACACCCATGACAGGTACCCGCTTCGATCATCATAATGGCCATTACAGGAGACAAAAATACAGAGGGGCGAATTAAAAATAACATCAAGGTATGAGTGGTGGACTGCTCTACCAGTTCATTGTAACATGTTCTGTTCGAAGATTGTAAGTCCTTTTCTGTAAGAACGCAAGCAAGATATCAAAAGGAGACACGTCAGGAAGTGGAAGCGCATGTCTACAGTATGCGTGCTTCAATTACATGACATTTGTACACTTCGTACTCTTTCACCATTCATTGACAGTTAATTGATTTTTAAAAGCCAGTTTAGCAGGCCTGCAAACATTTCCCCATCTAACATAGCGAAGAACTTACGCAAGATGAGCGAACAATCTCAAATCAATTCGTTGTACGCTTCAAAATTGCTGGATGAACGGTCACTGAGAGATTTGAGAAGTGAAAATCACGACAAAAGTGGAGGAAAGTGCAAAATAAACTAATTGCTGAACTGCCACATGCCAAACTTCTGACTAATATTGTTTCCACATTGAGACCAGAAACGATACGTATTTTGCGCTTACGATAGAAGTTGGAGTGAGACAAGATGAAAGTAATTACATTCCATATAAACTTCTTGATACAGAGAATGATTTGTACAATTGCCTCATAAAGTAGAACGGGCCTAAGCGTAGCAGAACAACTCAATCCCATCGTAATATCCATAATACCAAAGCTGAAGTCTTTTAACATTTAATCCATGGGTTAGGCTCTTCTTGTTTATTCTGCTTGAAACGCAAGCGCACATTCCTCAAGGCAAGAACATGACCTACCCCGTGAATCTGTATACTAATCTAACCATTTTTGTAGGAGTTGAACAATGATGGCAAACTATTGTAGTACATGATACAAACTTCGCCATGCTTGCGGTGAGGAATGCATCAAGCAGCTACACGATTGTCAGGAGCCATGAAGGTCTAAATTCTATGCAACTTCGATCAGAAAACACATGATACAACCTGCGAAAATATTTAAGAAAAAAGAGTTTTCGGCAAGCATGGATTCGGAACCCACTTCTTAAATCTGAACTCCGGCATGGGCCTGGAGCTGATGGTCATCCTAGCCGGTCCGCCACTCATGGTAATCTGAGAACGCTGTTTGGGCACACGGTCCTTCAGTTGGTTCACTGACATCCTGTCACGCGCCTCTAACTCCCAGTAACCCGTAACGTCGAGATATTTGCCTTCATTCCACGACGAAGCTGGGCTAAAGAAGTAGTCCCATTCGACGATGTTAACCAGCCATGTGAGAACCAGGCCGACCAAGTAGGCATAACACCCTATTCGGACCGATCGAAAGGCCCACCCGCAGGTGAGCGCCATGGCGAAAGAGCACACCACGCAGTACTGAAATATGTCTTGTTGCCGCTTTTGTCCAGGGAAATCCTCCCCCATTGTCGTAAGCTTTCTGAGGGCTCTGAAATTCCAAGCAGCTCCCCCGAGAGGAAAAGCTAACAGAGTGCGGGAGAGGGAAATGCAGCAGTCCAAGCGGAGATACTTGAGCTGAAAATACGATTATAGCGCAACAGCAATGCTCAGAAAGTTGGAACAGCCACTGCAATTACTGGAGCTCCCGGATGGAGCACTCAACTGGAGGAACTAAAAGTAACCCTTGATTTCACCGAAGTTAACCAACTACCTCTGCCTTGCTATTCATCAAACTCTGCAACCGACAACCCACAGTCACAGTCCAGGCACAAAGCTTCTTTCCGGGACCATCATTCGAGGGGAAGGGTTTCAGCTCCCACTTGCACACTACCGCCTATTGTAACAACCCTGCCGGCAGCGCCGCTCGCTCCGAATCCCGAAGACTCTCGAGATTTACGCGATTCCTCCCACTGACTCACCTATTTCCACCCCCTAGGGCTCCGGAAGAGCTTCAATGGCGGCTCTCGACCACTCTTCACCCACTCAACACCCACTCAAGAACCACCGCGACTAAAATAAGACCGCCTCAACAGGAATATTCGAGAACCACGACCTCTTCCTTTGCATCCGTCAACTAAGCATGACGCCGTCCACAGAACGGTTATCACTTTTATACGCACCAAGGGGTCTCCCAAGCTTTGACAATCTGGTTCTCAGGCCGTCGCTAAGTGCAGCTAACTTTGCTCACTCATCAGCCGAATGGTTAGAATGGAGAGCAGTCAGAGGACTCCGGGCGATAATACGGTGCCTCTCCTCACCGCCCACCGCCTCAAGTCGGCCCACACGAAGCAGGGAAGCTAGGATGATCTTTCCGAGTCGCGACCGACTCGCTGCATGATTTCATGGAGCTCGTAGATCCATCCTGACCTGACTAACCGAGTTCTCCCTCACTCCCATCTCTTCACGTTTCTTACAGCTCAGGTTCGGAGTCTGAAGATCCTTCGAAATCCTCGTCCGAGTACATGATGCAGAAATCTATGAAACTTGGACGTGGACGTTGGATTTTCGTTCCAGAAGCTGTCCTTCGATCATAGTGCCAGTCTGGAATCTGATCTTTTCAAAAACCTAATTAAATTGTGGTCTTCTTCGTGAAGGATATGAACAAAAGTTCACAGTCTGGAGTTGACAGTCTGGATTTGGAACATGAGATTTGACCCTACCAGTCATCATCACAGTGAACAGTCTAGAGGTCGCACTGATTTCCTTCCAGCAATTTTTAATGCTGTTCTGTTGATTGCCTATGGGCCACTTACACAAAGCTTCCTCCGCGTCTCGCGTCAGCGTTGCGGTGGAGTCAGGTTCGCATAGAAAGCCAAGAATTATGTAATGTGAAGAATCCTGCAGAACTGTGCATAGAAAGGAGCAGACCGTCGTGGTTTTGAAGTGTCAGGACAGCTGCTTCGCCCGCTGTCATCAATACAGTGTATAAAATTATAATTCTGAAAGCACCGAAACCTATTTTAGTAGATTTCCTTTGATCCCTTCAGAATTTTGGCGACATTTCTTAAGAGTGACTGTTGATCCGTGGGAATGGGCAACGCGAGAGTGCCGGCCACTGATTTGGTGGCTATGTAGATTGAGGGAGGCTGCATTATTAAGTGCTTGTATTATCTTGCGTAGGTTGTGAGTTGTTGCAGTCGCTGCAAACACTTGTATCTTAAATCTGCTGTTAATGCAGTCGTGTCAAAGAGCTGACAAGCCAAGAAGGATAAAACTAATAAAGCGCTGATGTGGGTGATGGGGGTGTCAGTTCTCTGAGGTAGGGTGTGTTCTTGGCAACCATAGGCTTCAATACAAATGCGATTAAAATAGCCAGCATTGATGTATTAAATTTCATGCGAGGAGGAACAGACCGAAAGGAGGTCACTTCCTTATCTACAGATGCAATTTGTTACGACAGTAGAGTAGCAAAGAGTTCACTGTTGAATATAAGCCTGCAAAATGTTTTTCAGTTGATGGTCCGAGTGCGGACCTGTTATGCATATACTGCTCTTAGTTTGCAACGCAGCCAAAACAAAATCAACACAGGACAAAATCATAGTGGAGACCAACATCTTCAGTCAATGAGTTGACTGCATTGAAAACCCTGACAAGGAAAGTTAATCCAAGGAATACACCATGCATTAAAAAAATTTATATCACACCAAACAGGGACATAATTCTGATGAGCAGTGCCAAGATCCAGAATGTGTGGTCAAAAAGTTTATCTTTGCCGCTTCGCAGCTGATCACGTCTTAGCGGAGTTTCAACTCCATCCAGAAAACTGTTGAGACTAATGAGCGAAATAAAATAAAATCGCAAGCTGTGATGATGTAGCATATACGAAAGTGTGATGAATGTTGCAGACAACTGCGAATCAAATAGAGTCCACATGAGCTTCATAGAGCTTCTTTCGCACTTGGCTTCCTGGTACTTTTCATTACTCCTGCACCGACTCCTTCCACAAGCTGTGATCTTTCTTTCAAATAGGGGCATAAGTATCCTTTAGCCTGTATGCAAGTCCCAGAATCCTCCATAAGCATAAACATGAGCACAATAGACGGAAACTTTGACCAAGACACTGGCAAAGGACTCGAAATTTTTCTAAACCTTGAATATCAAATAATTTTATGGTTAAGTGGATAAGTATTCTGTAGGGCATCATTTTACATAAGTCTTACCATCAAAAGTGGAACTGGAATCTCAACACGCCCCTGAAGCAATATATCAACCTGCTTGAGCTGTTCTTGAGGGACAGGTGTACTTATGTAAAAGACGCCTCTCGTCACATCCACTGCTTTCACAATTCCTGCGAAATATAAATAAATAAATATATCAAGCGCCGCATGATGAGCTCCACGACTGGAGTGCGTGATAGCAGTACTATACATTCTTTTAATAACTTAGGTGATTGCGGAATTCTTCATTAAAATGTTAAAACCATTGAAAATACTTCTCGCATATACGGAGATTCTGAAGTAAACATTGAGAAAATTTGAAATAAAACCAAAAGAAGTCAAGAGAAAAGTCTTACCCAGGCCCAAACACAGCGGCAGAGATGACCTACTCCGGTCATTCTTGTCTTGAATATCCCTACCAACAGAGGTAACTCCCAGACCCACAATACATGCATTGACACAACGAAAACTCTCTGCTGGTGGTACCTGAAAGCATGAACGCAACCAGACATTACAGAACTAAATTTCACAAAGACAAATCTAACCTCTTGTTTATATGGTGCAAAAGGGCTCATCTTCAGAATACTGAAGGCAGTGAACTCAAAGTTACTAAGTAGGTAAATCACAACACTAACACAGAATTTCTCGCACATGAAGTGTTCATCACGAACCTCAGAATGAAGATGTTTGATTTTAAGGGCTGTAAATGGAACTTCGTATGGAGTATCTCTCACAAGGGACATAGCAGTCTGTGCGAAGAGCTTGACTTCCTTGTAAGGAAATGGTGCTGAGTTTTCACCAAAACACTGTTGGAAATACGCGAGCAATCTGGCTGCTCGTAGATGATGCGCTGATCTTGCAGTTCTTTGCCTGGTAAGTATTAGCACACATTTCAGAAACCGCGTAAATAAGGATTCCAAGGTTAAAGGGGAAAAGTGAGAAAGAGAAAATTTATATTTCCAGTAAGGACATATAAAAAACCTACAAGAACAGGTCTCTCGGAGTTGCTTACGTTTTTAGTTTCTCCACTGCGCTTTCTACATAGACGGTTTCAGCCATACTCGACTCATCCCAAAACTTGTTGCGTGGTAGGTTCCTTTTTTTTGAGGAGGCTAACACTTGCACAACATGTGTTGGAACGGTAGAATTCAAGATGTCGACAATAACATCATAACCAATACCTGCAAAAACATGCCAAAAGTCTGATAAGCAACTCTTTACTGATGAAGAATAGATATTGTGAAAAGTTAAACAACCAGAAGTCGACGAAACAAAAAATCAAGTAAGAATTATGGGCACCAATCTCAGCTGACGTTTGACCAGGAGTAAGTGAGTATTGTTTAAGGAGTTGCAAGGCGGGATAATTTGACTGTACATCAAGTACAAACTCATGATAATGAAACGGACACAAGAACAGGATTACAAGAGCTGCCGGTACCTTTTACCCATCCATGCGTATTGATGACGAGTGGGATTGTAGAAATGGAGTTGAGGGTATATTTTTGAAGAAAACAATTGAAAAGTTCAGCTACATGTTCGATATACATCATCGGGTTACTTTTGGGAGAAACGTCTCCATAGAAGAAGCACCTGCAAAGGAATCAATAGCACAGTACTTGTAAGGCCTTTGTCCAACATACAACCTGTGATTTTGCCGGGATAGGTAATTTGAAAAAAATGTCTTGTCTAAATCCAAGTTTAAAGGGAGGGGGGAGGGAGAGAGAGTGGGTGTTATTTCTAACAGCTGAATGTTGTGAACAAACAGAAGTACATAATTCGTAGAGAAATAATGTTCACAGAAGTGCCATCTCATAAAAATTGTACATTCATGAACACAAAACCTCAGATTGGTGTAAAAATGGTGGACAAATCTTCATTTTGTACCTCTCGGGTGTCCGAAGGTGCATTGCTGGTGGACCTGATAGACAATAGACCGGTATTAGAATATGATACAATATGCAAGTACAATTTAAACCGACATTACACTCTCTTGGATGCTACATTAGTACATTTAAGCGGGAAAACTGTAGTATTTAATGTGCCGGATATTGAACTCTAAGCAACGACGAACATGTAAAACATAAAAGCTTGCATGCATTCTCCATGCACACATGTACTTGTATATCCTTCAAATCTTACCAACAACTGGGGTGTCGAGAATATGCAGCGATATACACCCAGGCGCGGTGAATTCTGGTTGTCCAACGTCTGTATCTAGGTATGCAACCTCTTTATACCTGGGAGAGTGTTAAATAAATAAATAAAATGAAGCGAGAAAAAAAAGAGACAAAATAGAAAAAAATTCCGATTAATGTCACATTGCATCCAACTTGCGCAGTCTAGAGTGTCTGAAGAAACATTATTTCACAACGTAATATCCGAATGTCCATAGGATAGTCCAAGACCTGTTAAGAAGTGAGTTCACGAGGAACCGAGCAAATGTAGACTTTCCAACATTCTTCGCACCGCAAATAGCAACAATCGGAAAATTAGATCCAAGTGTGATAGTTTCAACAGCGTCCTTCCAATCGCGTGGTATAGACGTTGCAGAAGAGTCCCTATCCAATGCCTCCACTACCCTTTGCCTCTTCACATTAGAAGAGTTCAGTCCACCACCTTTGCGCTTCCCAACAGTTTCTGTATCAGCAGCCATATCTAAACCTTCCAAAGGTACCTCAACCTGATCATCTCTGTCGTCTTCGTCTTCACTCTCTGAATAACTTGCTTCAGAATTTAAAGCAAGGTCGTCGTCATCGCTCTCAGATTCATTCATGTCACGGGAATCTGGTTCTTGATTTATTTTTTCTACAAAATTTTGTTCCCCTTTCATTCCAGGCGAAGAATCCAGTAGTCCAGCAAATCCCTACATCGTAACATATCCATGTAAGACAAAGAGAACTAAGATAACTGAGTGACTCCCGAATGGGCACCAAACGTGCATGTCATCAAGAAAATGAAAAATCATCAACGGTCGAGTGCTTTACCAGTTTAAAGGATAAACTACTTCCAGAAACTGCTTCACTTGTCGATTCTTGTTTACCAAGTCCATGAGAGGCAAATCTTAACTCGCAACCCAAGCTTGAAGGTTTTTCAATTTCCTTTATTTCTTCTGTCATGTTAATATCTCCCACTTGTATCCGAGCTTCAAAAGTAATGACTTCAGCAAGTTTGGAGCTTGAGCACACAAGGATGTCTACACCACGGGGTAAAGAGTAACCCAGCATAGACGCCTGCCCTTCTACAACTTGCACCATAGCACATCCATCCAAAATGACCATCTGTCAAATCATGTGCTCACTCATTTAGAATCTAAATAATATCAACGCTCCAATAGAAAAACATATGTTTCATTTGAAAAGCGCAGCATTTCTCCCTCCACTTGCAACTTGAAACATATTGTTTTCTATCTAAAATTTATTGTTTTCTATCTAAGTATATTATCTCCTATCTAAATTTTTATTGAAAACATTTTTCCTCAAATCCATGACTACGAAGAACACTGTACGTAAGAACAGCACCTGAGGAAAGGAGAAATAGCCTGCTTTACACCACCACTTGAAAATGTAAATTGAAGTTCCCCTAACTTAATTTTTTAAGACATGAGAAAAATAACTAATGAGTGAACAGTGTAAGGGAGATAAGAACCTGGCCAACTCCAAGCTTAACCGTGGCTACATTGCCCTCATAAGCCACAGATCTGCATCAGTCGCCCGCTGAAAGTTGTCAGAGAAAAGCCAGAATTCGGCACTTTTCTATGAAGAGACAGAATTATTGGTAGGCTTCTGCGTGTATGGTACCTAGGTACATTAAGAAAGAGCGGTCTAGAAATACAACAGAATTAGAAACCAAAGAACAACTAAGAATTCATAAGGAGTCACAAAAGTCGGGAGTTTAACCTAAAAGGAGAAGGGAAAATACTTACGGGTACAAACTAAAATTCTCTTCGCCTGGAGATCCACTTGAAACTAATGCATCGTCATTGTGTCTGATAGAGTTTTCAGAAAGCCCCCATATTTTGTCCGCACGCTTGGCTCCTTCACAAACACCAGCGTTCTCCTCGCTTCGCACATCCTCTTCCAAAACAACATTTTCTTTACTAGAACAATCTTCAACACTTTCAACAAAATTGGACGAGTGGGTTAATTTCCAACGCTTCACTTGCGGTAGTGGAAACACTGTTTTGCGTTTACGAGTCCGGGCACTAGATGTGGAACTGAGAGCTTTGCACCTAAAAAACCCCTTCAATAAAATCCCTCTCATGATGTCGAAAGCTCTTATGTCCTCGAGCTACAGCTCGCACCCGCTAAACAAACTTTCACGCATACTCCAAGTCACGAAAAACCAGAGGAAGTCTCCTTTCGAATTCTAATAGAATCCCCAACACCCAATGTCATGATCTAAGCAATGAACACTCGAACACCAGCCTAACTCCAGAAGAAAAATCAAGTTCCCCGAAAAAACCCTAATTTTCCGAGATAGTAAGGCACGTTGCGAATTACTAAAGAATGCGAGATAGGGACATGTCTACGTAACGCGAGGTTGAAATTCCCAGTGACGTACATCAAAAAAAAACTGCTGGTGCTTGCAGCTGTGGTAGCGGGCTGCTTCTCCCAGAATCAGAACAATGCGACCTTAAAGTCCTTGGAACACAACCGAATGGATGAATAAGCAAAATGCAAGAAAAACTGTTCATTCGCAGTGAAAGGTCAAGTGCTCGCACTCCTGATCCCGTGTGGCAACGTGCCATGGACCTCCTAAAACGAACACTCCTCAGTAAACAAGTAATTTCCACTGAAAGTTTAGTGACCACAGATTTAGGGTTAAAGGGTTAGGGTAATCACCTTTCCGAAGTCAACGGGGTTTAGCCTCAAACGGCTTTTGAAGTTGACAGGGTTTAGTGGGCAAGTTATTACTGATTATTATTTTGCACACAGCTTGAAACAATAATCTGATACAAACGGCACCAAACCTTGCTAAAGTCGGCCATGGCTATCAACTTGAAATTTTTGCATACAATCAGTTGGTATTTAAAGGATAGGAATCATAATGGCAGGAATTGCTGCCAAGAAGCATGTGTGTAATGTAGTACATTTTTTTACAGAATCAAAACCAAAAAAGGTTTCAATAATTGAAACAGTAGTAAAAGTAATGACCAGCTAGCGAGCAAAGATATTACAAATCGATACTACAAATACTGCATTGACAGCACAGTGTCTAATACTTGTGGGCAACATGAAAGATTGTGGCCGCAACTCCTGTCATTTTGATTCTCAGAGATTATCTGTGTCACGAACGATTTCTCGAGAAGGAAGAATCATGGCAGCGATGGGCCTATCATCGAAACCTCCACTCTCATCGATGATAAGGCGGTTGCTCTCAAAGTGCAACTTTCCGTGGTGGCCGCTCACAAGAAGCACTTTCTGTGCTGCCAATTCCTAAACACAGATGCAGGAGTATTGTAACTATGAGTATTTCCGATGAAAAGAGGGATTGATACAATAAAGAACTTATGAACAAATAAATTTAACAAGAAAAAAATATACACAGACTCTAAGTAACGTGCGAGATAACAAAGAGGTAAGACAGAATCCCGAAGGAAAATGCGACAACTGCTTACAGGAGGGTTGTTCCACACGTTCTTACGACCAGCAAGGGGCTCAATATGTGGAAACTATGCATCCTTGGTTCTCAACATCTGCATCTGGTTGTCCAGTGATTTAGACTCTAGACCCGCATGAACGGCAATTAGTTGTGTGTGGTTTGTTTCTGGATCCACTGTCTCTTCGTCTTCCTATTTCAACCAACATTTTCACACGTGCTAAGCATTCCTAACGATATATTGAAGAAATGAAATGGCAGGTAAAAGCTCTACAAATGCATGAGCCTCGGTTATGACTCATCACACTACAACCTAGGAAGACAAGCGAAGGATACCTGCTCATGAACCCACACTAAGTTGCCCAAAAACTCCTAATGGCTGTCGGGAACACCTGCAATCAAACCTGCCACCATTGACAAAATCGAAGAACGCATTACAATACAAAGATGTAAAGTTCAAGTGGATTTTGTAGCATCTAAGCCAGTTCAACACAGCTGAAATAGCTTGTCCCAAGCTAAGAGAAGCATAGAGCATAACCTTCAAATCTAATACATGCCTACTAATCAGTGACAAGCTGTGCGTGAGATAGACCTCCGTCTAACTGAATCGTTGCAATAAAAGACATTTCTTGCAAGAACAATCAAAGGACTCAAGTGAAAAGAGTAACATGAATATCCTGTGATTCTGAATTTGCACAAGACCAATGTTCCAATTTCTATTCCAAATTTATGAAGTGGTAACAGCCAGACACACACCTGCCCTGCCACCATGAGAAACGCCATATGTACTCGCCCCGCGTGCTAGTGTAATTCATACCAGGGGAGGACGTCGGCAACACGCCCATAAACGCTGCAAACGCAAAATCATGGTTGCTGCATAAAAATACATATTTCTGCTCTAGGTGATGCTCCGGTAAGCTAGCGAGGAAGTCGAGAATACCCTTAAGAGTCGGGCCCCCGGTCATTGTACTCGCCTAGAAAGATCACCGTTGAGCTCGCAAATGATACCGATCTCAGCTTGAATTCCAAGTTGCGCCATAACACCTTGAGGCGATCAAGATGACCGTGAATATCCCCGACACAGATGGTCATGCGCTTGGCCTCCACCATCGTCACCACACAATCTCAGGTACGTGAGGAATCAAATCAAGGCCACTCCAGGCTTGTTCCAACAAGCGAAGAAACAAGAGCCCGAAAAACAATTGGAATATGCAACCCCGACAGCAAAAGCATGGACTAGACATAAGGATCGATTGTTGTAACCAATTGCAGGTGGTGGTGGTGGAGGGGGGGGGGGGGGGGGGGGCTGCAGCAGCGGAAGAGGGCGGCATTAGATTCCGAATGAGAGAGTGAGTGAGAGTGGAGAGGTGTGTCTGTCCATGTGGCAAATGAAGCAATTCATTCAGTCTAATGCAGTGGGAATGGAATGGAATGCAGTAGTAGTAGTAAGGTAGGGAGGTCACATATCTCCCAAGTCCACTACAGCCCGCTTCTTACAAATTGGCACCTAATTTTGTTCTTTTGAAGTCTTTTAGAAATAGCTAATGACATGAAAATTCTGAATGGAAGATTTACAAAAATATTTATAGTGTTTTTATATATAAATGGGAAGTGCTATATTGACCCAAGCTTTTACTAAACTAATCCACCATCATCACAAATTGATACATGGATTGTTGAGTTCATTATTATAACTATCATCCACATTTGGATTGATATAATCATGGTTTTTTTTAAATAGAGTTGATACAATCATGGAAATATCATTGGTAACAACAATTAATAATCAACAACTACAATTAATAGTACTTTTCCTTTATCCCACCTTATCAAGATTATAATTTTTTATGTACTCAACCATCTTACTTTTCATTCCTCAATGTAGTCTTGCAATTCTTTTTGATATTATGCCTAGTATTTAAGAAGAAAGAGAGGGCATTGTCTATTCAAAGGTTATTTGGATTTAAAAATAAAAAATATGTTGCACATATCTCTTCTACTAGAGGAATCTTTTGAATACATTGAAGATATAAAAGAAAATTTAGATAGGTTTTATATGCCCAAAGATATATAGTTTGCAAACAATATTCTATTAAGAATTGCACAAATTTCAAATGTGACAAGAAAAAAAAAATTAGTGAACAAAATAACTTCATTTGTCAACAAATTTAGCAAATTGATTGATTGGATGTCTATTTTAGTTACATGCACATTGTTTCTAATAAAATACATAATGGCACTTGACAATACAAAATGGTCACCATAACCATGGCCTTGCAACATTACTTTTATATCATATGATTGCTTAATAACTTCATCCAACAAAAAGAAAGATGATTGTTTAAATGCTTACGACAAGAGTTCTAGTATGATGTTATAACACAATTATATGGTGAAAGTAAAAAAGAAAGACTGTACTATAGAAGAGCTTAAATAAAAATTCTTTAGCAAATTATTTTAAAAATATAGATAATATGTGAAAAATCATCTATTTAATATTATAATATTATAATATTTTTATTAGATAAAAGATTAAAAGAAACATTATATTATAAAAGACTAATTATGAACCAAGGTCAAAATCAGACTATAAGACACAAAACCATATACCTATGGTATATTTAGGATTCTTTAGTTGATGTCACAGATATACATACTTATTCTAATATTTATCTATATGATTAAATAGAAATATATAAAAGTAAAAATATATATATATATATATATATATATATATATATTTTTTAGAAAAGTTTCCTAATAACTTCATAAATGTTGCTTTAACTTTACATATGTTTAAAGTTGATTGATAGGTTAGAAACTTAGTCAAGAACTTAATTACATGTTGGTAGCTTGCAAAATAAGCTAACTATGTGGCATACATATAAAAAACTTATCTTGCAAGTTAAGGTACATGTCTTGCAAAGTCAACATGCTTTGGAGGTCCTATAGGTCATTGCCATGTAGTTCCTAATTAAAAATATATATAGAGGCAAGAGTGAAGCCTGCTTCACTCTTATTAATGCCTTTCTAGTCTTTAGTCTTGTTTTCAGTCTTTTTAATCTTCTTATCTTTGACAATAGTTATTTTAGTTTAATACTATATCATCTTTGAATAACTTTTTAGTTCTTTTGAGTGATACAAGAAAATATTAAGGATTTCTTTTTTCAAGATTCATGTCCTTAATAGTTAATTAGAAAGTGAGATTTGAAAGAAAACTTGTGAAAAAAATTTTGAATAATAATTTTGAGTGATTTTAGTTTGTATTGACTTAATAAAGACTTAACAAAGTCTAAATTGTTTTGAAATTACTTTAATTTTTTAAAAATTTAAAAGACTTATATTTTAGAGCATTGTAGAGGATTGATTAATGATCTACATATAAAATTATGTATTTACATAATTGATGTTGTTTTAAATTTTTGTTGTAATTTTGAGCTTAATTAAAAAAAAATAAAGATTATAAAAATTTAAACATATTGAAATCTTAGAAATTAGAATTCAAAGGATAAGTGATAATTTCTAAAATTTATAATAATTTATTAATTAGATTGAATTAAAAATTTATATAATAGTAGTTAAATTGATTATTAATAGATTTTTAAATTTTAAAAGGCATTAAATGATCAATTAAGAGATGTTGGCTTTATAAGATTGATATTAAGGTTGGAAAAGGAAGCCAACTAATATCTAAGTGGATTTTAGAATTTATTTTTTATTTTTCAAGTTTAATCTTTTTCAAATTGGTTATTCTTTTTTTAAAATTTAATATTAAAATAATAAGAAAATTTTGAATAAAGGTTTATATTTCTAATATTTTTAAAGTTCTTAATTTTGATGTTTTTTTTATAAATTTTTATTTTTTATTTTTTTAAGAATTTTATAAAATTCTTTATAATTTCTCCATGATTCTTTTATAATTTCTTTAATTTTTTAATTTGATTTGATTAAGATTTTATTATGATTGTTAACATTTAATTAATATCTATTTAAGATTTTATTATGATTATAAAAATCTTGATATTATAATTTCTATTTTTGTCTCTATATTCAAGTGCTTAATGCATTTTCAAATAAACTTCATATAATATGACAACATTACTATATTATGTGAAATTTTCTTAAAAATATATTAGATACTAATTGTAACAGGATATAGATATGATATTTGTATTATTGATACATGGGAATATATAGTTAGAACCATGGAAGTTTCTAGAATTGGAATTAGGTTAGTGGATCACATAGGATCCACCATGGAACATTCTAGAAAGAATTATGGTCAATTATCTAAATGGGGCCTACCATAGAACCTTCTAGAAGGAGTTTAAGGTGGTTCTCTAAGTAAAATTTGTCATCTAGGAATATTTTAGAAAGTCCAAGGTGGTCAAACAAAGTATAAATAGGACTTGCTAAGGCCTTTTAGGGCATCTAGTCAAATATGGCTTTAGATCCTTTCTCTTAATATGATTGGATTTTGTATCTTTTTATTTTTTTTTCTTCTGTTCTAATTCTAATTGATCAATTTTGTCTTCTGTGTCCTATTGTGTTTACTTCTATTTAGTTTTATTTTGGTCCAGTTTGTCCCACCTTGTGATGAGGTTTTATGTTGCTATGGATTAGAAGGATCTTGGACGTTTGAGTTGGATTAGTCTTGTTTCATTCGTATCAAAGCGAATGTTAGACTATTTTTTTTGGTAGTGTGTTGATAGTCATTATCTAGTCCAAGATTAATTTTTGTAGTCATATTGGATATTATATTGAAGCTACTATGTGCCACTTTTAAAAATTCAATAAAAAAGTGAAAAGACATTACAATAGTGTAGTCTAACAAAGAAATTGTAGTATGAAAAATATGACAGAGCAATTCCAAATAGAGGCTCAAATACAACATCTCTTAGGTCAGATAGTTACTTTGCAAGGACAAATAGAAGCTTCGAGGACATATTCTGGGACTTCAAGATAAGAAGTTGTATATCAATGACTCTTCAACATGCAACAATACCTTCAAATGTCTGTGGCAAATACCATTGAAGAAATTATATGTGTAGTCAACTATTTAACAGACGTGGCAACCATTTTGTGGCAACATCAAGTTCAAAGTTATGGAGCTCAAGGTGGATTTTTTGATTGAGAGAAGTTTGAGATAAAGTTTAGAAACCAATTTTGATCCATCAATGCAGAGAAGATAGTACACGATCAGTTGGAAAATCTTACACAATCGAGGTTGGTGTAAAATTATGTCTCTTGATTCAAATCCCTATGTCTCTAAATTTGTAATGTTTTAGAGGAGAAGATGATAGATCAATTCTTACAAGATTTGAAACTTGTAGTTCAGTAAGATGTAGAATTAAAGGATCCATAAACATTCAAAGAGGCAATTTGAATTGTATATAAGATTGATGCTATAGATTTTAGAAATTATAGATTATAACATATAGTACAAAGTCCTATACCGATATCTAATATTATGGCATAACAACCAACGCCAATGAAGATTGATGCCCTATAAGGATCATTGATATCACAAAGACAACAAATATTGGTGTAAAAGGAATTATATTTTTATTGTTGAGAGCTAGCCCATTAGATTGGAAGTTGTCTAAAATGTCAAAATTCAAGCACGAGCAAAACAAGGTAGGTTTATAGTCTCAAAACTCACCAAATTGATAATAAGACAAAGCAAAAAAATGGAGGCTTCTTAGTAAAGGCACCGAGGATAAGTATTGAAAATAGCTACTATCTCTTAAAGACAAATGGCATCGCCTTGGACAATTGTAAAAAGAATCAACTAGTACATCTAATGAAACTATTAAAAAAACAACCATGCTAAGTGTTTATAGATTGTGGCTCTACAAAAAATTACATTTGAGCTGCAATTACCAACCAACTTGGGATTAAAACTAAAGCAATCAAAGGAAGAAGTATATACCTTGTAGATGACCGAAAAAACATATAAAGTGAGATATGTGAAGGAAAAACCTTGAGATTGACTAATACCTATATCTTTAAAAAGAAGTTTAAGATAAAAAAGCTAAAATATGATACTATTTTTGGTATACTATGGCTAAAAATAGAAAATAAGAAAGTTTATTAGATAGCAAGGATAA